TTATATAATATAAACAATTAATTGTAAAATTGAAACTTATTCGCTTATAAAGAATTAAAGAAAAGTGTAATGCCGATTGAGAAATCAAGAACTTTCTTAATCAATTAACTTTCACCATAAACGATGCATTTTCATATTGCATACCTTCTATCTGATAGATCGATCAGAGAATAATATGAAAAACATTTTAATAATTATTATTATTAACACAATTATTTATTTTTTATAGTTACATGTAAATGTAAAATAATATAATCATAATAAAAAAAAAAGATGTAAAAGGAAAAATATTGATTCGTTAATTAGTATAAATATAGTATGATATCGCTTTTTTTTTTATAAAAATTCTAGTAATTCAGAATTATATTAATTAATAATAAAAAAAATATATAAAAATATCCGAGCGATGCAAAATTTGATACTTTTATGAAATTATAAAATTGGCGGGATTTCATGTAGTATAAATTATTAGAATAAAATTGAAATTAGGTAAATTATTCTTTTCTATAATATAATTATCGATATTTTTATATATTATTGATATTGACAATGAACAATTAAAAAATGACAAAGAAATTTTTATCGCATAATAAATTAGGATCATCCAAGTAGTCTTGTGATTTTAATAAAAATATTTATAATGATCAATTTTTTATATTTTTAATAATTTTAAATTATGTAACTATTATCTACTATTATCTTCAAATGTATTAATTTATAACATGAAATTTATTTATAATAAAATTAATTTATAGTATTGATTGATTGACAGAGAACATCTAATATAAAATTAGTAAATGAATGAATGAACTATAATTGTATATACATTGATACAACGTATCTCAAGAGCTTCTAATTCTTTCCATGATTAATGATTAGAAAATCCCAAGCGAAAGAGGGGCGCACTTTACTTTTTTTATTAGATACGTTAAATCTATAAAACGGTTTTAATTTTATTGTTTTATATTTTACAAAATATAAAAAATTGAACTTCAAGATTCTAACTTAAGGATTACCAAATTGAGAAAGCACGATTCCGCTGCTAACAAAGCTAGTTCCAAAGCTAATTCTTACATTTAATCAGAAAACAAATACAAAAATGATTTATGCAATCGTCTAGTTAAATCTACAACAAAGATTAGAAGCAGCGTATAATTGAACATATTACGAATAAATTTATTACTTCCTACTTATAAGGCAATGAATTTTCCTTTTATAACGATATTTAACCAATTAGAATTCGCAAAAAATAAAATGATTTTCAAAATTATATAAATTATATTTTTCGATATATACAATTTCAAAAACATAATTTAAAGAATAAAAAAAAACGACAAGAATCGATTAAATTTCGAATCAGTGAATTGATTCTATCGTGATGAACAGATTATCATCCCACGTGTAATATATGTATATATATTCACACATTTGACGTCATTCATCGCGCGCTATTCACTTTGCACCATGTGACTTGGAATGACATTATTTGTGCCCGTAATCGTTTAAATTCTTCTTATTTTTTTAATAATGTATTGTACGAAGCATTGACGTTTATGATTTCAATGATATGTTTCAATAAATCTAATCTAATCCACTATTGCATTATCTCGATCGCTTTGAATCGATATTTAATCGGTATTATAAAACTTAAAATATTTAAACTATTCTTAAAAATTTGAATTTTAAGAAATTTAGAATCCCTTTCGTTTTCAATATAACAAATGAACAATTTGTGGTTTGCAAATTGCAAAAAATTCATATGATACGACAATGAACGAACATTGAATGATCGTATACAGTTTTATTGTTGAACTTTGGGTACACGCGTCAACGGTATTAGGTCAATTGCATTACTCATTATTACATTATCACGATCTCTTATTGATATTTCAACAGAAAGACCCTATCTTTATCTTAGCATATCTAAACACTACAAGTTTATTGTTCTGTGATATAATTTAATATATTAAATAACCCGATTGAATTGTAAATTTTTAATTTTTATTTCAATATTCGAACAAATTGCCATTACTTTGAACGAAATAGAGCATTTCCAAAATCATAATGATGTCGTATTAAATAAATTTTCCTTTTTATATTTATATTTTTCTTTTATGTTTTTTTTAATTTATATATATATATATATATATGTTATATAAGATTTACATTTGGATAAATACCAAAAAAATGTGTTGCTTCTTCGAAATAAAGGAAATTTCCATGTGCTGATGCACATTTCAGCGAAAAGATCTTTGACCTTTATTTTTTTTTTTTCGTACGTAAGTTTATCCTCATCATTAACATTTTACATTTACAATTAATAAAATTAATTTTTTAAAGAATTCAAGGAAGACAAACTAAATATTGATTGATAATTCGGAAAAATATTATAATTATATTATATTATTTAATTTACTAACTATACTATTATTTCGTACAAAATATACTATTTTAATCTTTATTAGAGTAAAAAAATAGAATATCTATCAATGAAATTTTCGCAAAAAATATTCTTATCAGAATTTGCATAAATATATAAATATAAAATTTAATCTTAATTAAATAAAAGATATACAATTTCTTTGATTAATTGTTTGCATTTATGTAAAAGACTATATAATACTCATTATCAATGATTACATAACAAGCTTGTGAAGAGCATTATCAGATAGAACACACCCGTGAACTACAATTATCTAATTGATTTCGCGCCATATAATCATCGAATGGCGCTAAAATGACCAAGAGGAGGGTGTCACGCATGATCCAATCTTTATTAACCCTGAAATTCAATCATCTTGCCAACAATTGGACATTTCTATTTAACTTCACTTGAATTCGAAGTTATTAAACAATGATTCCACTACATTTTTTTAATATATTTCACAATATTGAAGCAATAAAAAAATTAATTTTAATTGAATTATAAGAATTTTATATAAAATCTAAAATAAATAAATAAATTCAACAAAATTCAAATTCTTTTTCTTTTACAATTTTTAATCGTTATACTGTTGCTAAATTATTTTATAAAATATTTGAATATTCAAGTTAATTTGAAATTTTAGCTATTTTTAATATATCGACAAATTAAATTAGCTTATGTAAAAATATGATTCTGTATATTATAGAAAAAAAAAAAAGAAAAAAAAAATGATTCTGATTTAGCATCCCAAGGTCATGTTCATATATCTATGATATTAGGTAATCGATGAACCATCTGTAACTCGAACATAGAGTTTCTAAATCTCTGCCAAAAGTTACAATAGATATACGTTAAACTAAATAACTATCGACTTTAAAATTTAAAGAATAATGATCCTAATAAGAAATAAATCAGATGTATAATGTACAATGTATATAATATATATAAATAAATAAAAAAAGTTAATTCATGCAATGATATTCAAAAATCTATATAACAAGCTATATAAAGTTCAATCACTAAGCAGGTATTAGACAAATATAGGTCATGAAATAATTATTAATATGAAAGAGGATAATACAAATTTTAACCTTGAATTCATTCTAAAATTATCACATCTTACGAAATTATAATGCACTTCTCAATGAATACGTATAAATAAAATAAAAAGATTTTTAAACATTGATGAGATGTATTACTTACAAGTATGTGTTTGTAATCATAAAATTTAACATAAATTTATATATCGCCAAATTTAAATTTGATTAGGTAAATACAATAATAAGTATATTATGGCGATTATACCTAGAAACCAACCAATTTGATTTTCATTAAACTGTTCTTTTAATTTTTATATCGATGAATGAATAATATTTTTTTTTCATTATTCATTATATCATATTATATAATTTTATGTTTTAGCTTATTAATACTAAATTTATGTAAATACTATAATTTTTGATTTTATTATTTGCATTAAAATTTTAAAATATTGTATTTTACACATGAAATTTCATTGATAAAAATTAAAACTACTAAAATATTTAACCAATAATATATATATATATATATAATATTATTATATATATTATTTAAATATCACTTATAATAACACTGAATAATTAATACATCCGGTATATAATTTATGAGATAATATTCAATAATTATATGTCTTCTAAAAATTTATTACGTAATCACAATGAAGTTCGTTCAAATTAATATCAATTTTGACTACTTAGATAAATCCTATATCACTCCTATATCGCATATAATTCGATGTACATTTTTAAATAATTAATCAATATACATATCTACTTTATAATCTTCACAATATTTTATATTAGTTGAATGCAATAATTAAATTCAATAAAGTGCTTTTATATTAGAGTTCAAAAGATATTGCTTCAAAATAATAAGCATTATTCGAAAGATATTTGCGAGTAATTGCTCGATATGTAGAAAATCTCATATAGCTTTTATAGCTGACATTTTACCTGTTCAATCAATAAATACAATCTAATATCTTGCTAAAATGTATTTCAAAAAAATAATAATAATAAATATTATTTTTATATTATTATTTATTTGAAATTCTGCATTATTACAAGAAACAATAAAATATGTTAAACACCTGCTTATTGTTCGAATTTCGTACCGAAATGATATAAAGTGGTTTTGAAATCACTTAAATATACTGTGTATCCAAATTACTTAATCTTAAATAAATTTATGAATTTACCTGGATTTCTAAACAATGTTTTGGACCAAAACGAAATAACGCCATTGTTCTTTATATCCTGGCTTATGGATCCTTCTTTCTTGCTTGTTATCGTTAACACCAAGTGACCACGCGGAGCTCTGGCGCCCAACTCAACTAACTCCTCTGTTCGTTCGTCATGAATATTTCTACAGCGCATGCGTAAAAACAGCAAGTGTCCTCAAAGGATCATTTTTACTTATAAATCTGCCACGTTACGTTCATAAGAAATCTTAAAATTAATTTTTTTAATTCTTAATAATTATTTTAAAAATATCAAAAGAAAATATTTAGCGATTTTATAATAAAAAATGATAGAATGCATAATAAATTTTAATAAAGATTTCAATGTTATTTATACAATGAATTAAATATTTCAATATTGTGATATTGTTCCAGTATAGGGAAATTTGATAATTGGTAATTGATGTTAAATTTGGCGCGAAATATAAATATATTTAAACGTATCATATATATGTAAAGAAAATTATTAACATTTTTTAACAACATTATATATACATACATAAGTTTTGACATTTATAATTTTTCATTTTTATAATATAATTATTTAATCATTTGAATTTCTTCTATTTCATAAAATTAATAAAAAATACCAAGTTTATCACATATCTCTGATGATAATAATGGTCTAAAATTTATAAATATATGAATGAATATAAATAAATATAATTTTCACATTATATTTTTTAATAAAATATAATTAATAATTACTTATTCAATGTAAAAAAATGGAAGCCACAAGTAGTTGTACTTGCAATAATATCTTTTATAATAGTTTTAAATAATTCTATTCCATAAATACGAACTTCTTCATCATTATCTTTTATACATTGCAAATCATTTAAAATAATTTCAGGTATTTTAACATTACAAATTTTTGCCATTTTTTGAAAACATGTATAATTTGGAATTGGAAATATACCTGGTATAATTGGAACATTAATTCCAATTTGTTTACAATCATTCACAAATTTAATAAATATGTTTGCTTCAAAGAAAATTTGTGTTATTATAAAATCTGCTCCTGCATCAACCTTTAAATTAAAAAAAATTAATATTTTTTAATATAAAATGATATATAAAGTAATGATATTAATTAAAGTAAATACTTTTTCTTTCAAATAAACTAAATCCATTTCTTTAGATAAGGATTTTGGATGCATTTCTGGATAACCAGCAACGCAAATGCAAAATATTTCACCAAATTGATTCCTTATAAAACGTACTAAATCAACTGCATATGGAAACTCACTATCTGGATTTGATGAATCTAAAATTTTTTTTATAAAATTAAATTAACATAAAAACTTTTATTATTAATGAAAAATTCTATATATAACTTTTTCAAATAACATTTAATTACCACCCTTTAATACAAAAATATTACGTATACCATGATCTAATGTTTTCTTTAGTATAATTTTTACATCATTGCGAGTTAAGTCATTAGATGCAAGATGTAAAAGTATATTATTGGGAAGTATATTATATATATCTGAAGACAAATAATTTTTTATTTCATTTTTCATATGTTTCCATGTTAATGCATAAAAAAGTGGATGATATTTATTCATTTTCATAAAAAAGCTAATAACCAAAATTTTTATTATATAGAAATATATAGAAGTATAAATATATTGAATTTTATGAAATATAAAAATATACTTACCTTTGATAAAAATCATTGTTTTCTACACGCATAAACTCAAAACTACAAAATATAGTATTTGTATCAATTACATTTTTTAATTTATTTCTTAAATCAACGATTTCGTGTTCAGAATCTTTAGATTGATAACCATTTTTAATATTATCAATATATTGATTGTATGTTTTATTTTTTAATATAGTTTTTGTCATGGTATTTTTTAATTTAAGTATAAAAGACAACTAACAATGAATGAAAAATTCTTTCATATAGTTATATTGTATAACATTCTCGTTGTCAAATTGCGCAATACAAGAAATATACATGTAATCGGTTTCATATGACGAAATAATTTCTAAAATATTAATATATAAAAAATAAAAAATTAATATTATATTTGAAAAATAATTAACGTATTTGTCAAAATATTAAGATTTTTTTTAATTGATCTAATTTTATTTTGTGCATGTCTTATATATATTTAATATTTTTAAATAAAATACAAAAATTTTTAATATCATTTATTGTTAATTTATTGTTATTTTTTTTTTGATAAATACAATTTCCTACAAACTTTTGTTATTGGAATATCATATACAGGTGGTATACCACCTGGAATAGTTTCTTTTTTCGGATATGAATATTTATCTGTAATAGTTGCAATATCATTAATATCTGGTGTCATAGACAAGTTTATAGCTGGATAAATAATAAATGCAAATATTGCAAGGGCAGTTAAAGCCCAAATTGGAATTGCTATAGCCCAGTACTTAGAAGGCCAATATGTTAATCCTAAATCATATAAAATTTGATCTGGTATTACAGCCCATACCAGAAATAAAAGAAATAACATATTTGAACTTATGTATAAAGCATATCCATAAACAGATCTTGGTCCATAAGGAGCTGGAGTATGTTCCATTTTATAAAATATTATAAAAATAATTTTAAAAATAATGAATATTTACTTAATAATAATCATAATTAGATACAGGTGGACCAAAAAGTTGCATAGTTTCTGTTACTAAAATTATACTATCAAAAAATGATGTTACTGCTACTCTAACTTTTCGTGCCTCAGTTCCAGAAATTTCTCTATAAAAAATAATATAAAATTATAAATTAAAATGTACAAATATATATTATATTTAAATATATAATAATAAATATAAAATACAATATAATTTACATGTGTAATAAATTATTGTCCAATTTCAAAGATTTTGAAATACTACTTCTTGAAGGTTCTGCATCAACTCTCAATACTTGATAAGCAATTTCTGCTTCCCTTGATGAAGGAAAGGGTATTAACAAATTTCTATATAATATTAAGGTTATTTTTATATTTTGTTTTATAAATTGCACATATTAATGAAAGATTTTAATAAAATATTACATATTTTAAAGGATACATATTAAAAGTACTCATGACATTTCATCAATAATTCATTAATATAAAAATATTTTTTGTAGTATTAATTATAATCTATATAAAAACCTATATAATTTATCTTATTTTACTTGCGTATTTTGATATATTTAAATAATTAAAAATATTTAATTATTCATATATAATAGTTAAATATTAATTGTGTGACTTATTATATATAATAATTTATTAATTACTTTTTATAATATGATTATTATTTTGTGATTTTAGATTAGTACATATTTAAAATATGATGTACATTATATGTTTAACTACATATATATTTATAAATTTAGTAATTTTCTTCAGTTTCTTTAGTAGTGTAATAAGTTGACACTAAATATAGAGTCAAAATGGCGTACTAATGCGTTTCTTACAAATGGCGTACCAATGCGTTTCTTACAAATGGCGTAAGAAACTATTAACTGAAGACTATTAGAATTATATATTGTATTAATAACTAATTGTTTATAGTAAAAAGATTGGTTGATTGAGAGAAGTATATAATTTCTGAAATCGAGATTCTGAGAAATTGATCAGATCAACTATTGGCGAAGAAAAAATTCGATTCTCTTAGAGCGAAAGAGTGAGAATAAGAGAATAACACGAAATCGAGCTATTAACGTGTCACACATTATTTCCACTTAACGTGGCATCGTTTCTCTATAATTCCCCTACTCTTTATTACTTTTGCCTCGCAACTGAGAAGCTGCATTTCAATCAACATTGAATCTTATTGTATACAACGTTTTACCATAAATAATACCAAAACTTGGTATAAACTTGGTATAAGTCGTATACGTTAAACGTGGAATTTTTAATAAAAATATTATTTTATATTTTTATATAATGGGTCGAAGAAAAAGTAAAAGAAAGCCACCAAGTAAAAAAAAGCAATTCAACCATTAGATACACAATTTAATTGTCCATTTTGTAATCATGAAAAATCATGTGAGGTTAAGATGTAAGATTGTGTTAAGATTGATTATTTTAGTGCCAATTTTTATATCGCTTAAATTAAAATTTTTTTCTTTTTAATTACAGGGATAAATCAAGAAACACAGCAAGAATTACATGTAGAGTTTGTTTAGAAGATTTTCAAACGACAATTAATTTACTTTCGGAACCTTTGGATGTATACAATGATTGGATTGACGCATGTGAAAGTGCAAATTGAAGATTGTTGTTATTTTGATGTTTGATTTAAATTTTATCAGATTATTACTGATAGACTTATTTATTTCTTTGTTTTACTAAATTGTAAACACTTTATAATATAATGAATATTAAATTGCACACGATAGATAAGTAAGAACTTTGCTATATACTTATATATACTTATATATTAATGAAAAGACTATTATAATTCTGTAAATTTAATATTTTATTAGTTCAAAATAATACTTTATATGTCTTATTACAATATAGATATCATAGATTACTAATTTTAATTATATGATATATAATTATATTTATATATATTAATCTTTTATATTATTCATCATTGTAAAAATAACAAAAATAAAAAATATAATTGTTATTACCTATGCATATATAAGGAAAAGATGTAATATTTTTTAATAAATGTTTCTATCGTATAAATTATGTTTTATAATAATAATATGAAAAAATAAATCTTTATTATAATTTTTTATGTGTGTTAATAAATTCAATCTAAATCATTAATTTTAAATATATATTATTATTATTAAGTTTACTGAGTAATAATATGTTTTATAAATATAAAATTCTCAATAATAAAAAAATACAGGACTAATCACACTAATGTTTCTATATGTTTCTAAATAAGCATTCTTTATTTTAAAATTATTTTAAATATTAAGAATACTGTTTTACAGAAGATTTAATTAAAAGTAGGCAAAAAATAAAAAGTTTAAATTCAAAATGAAATTATAATGTCGTTCCCTCGCAAATACTCAGCGGATGTGTTTCATAGCGCAGTCAAGATGGCGTTCCACCGAGTGAAATTACTTGTTAGAAAAAGTATGTGAAAAAAAATGCCGCGGAAAGCTTGAGAACGACGCGTGCGAGTTTAAGTCTTGAGTGAAGTTTCGGTGACACAATAAATCCTCGTGGTTTCGCCATGCATTTTAGATGAAAAGAATTTAAATGTCAGAATAGAAACGATGCATGTATTAACCCAAGTGACAAGGTTTGTTCGCTGATCTTCGGACATTGCGGAGAACCGTGATCGTCGAGCGGCGAACAACGACGCTATGGCGTCCATCGGACGTGTGTATGTGTGTGTCATTATTTTTAATCCGCAATTAACGGCTAATTAAGCAGTCGTAACTGTGGATCACAAGTAGAATTCAATGCGTGTGAAATTCGCGTCACCGGTTGTTAAACGCGACTTCCTAGTGTTAGTCGTCGAACCGGATCGGTTTATGCAAAAACAAACATTCTGGGTTGCTTTCATTTCCCCTGTTTGACAGCTCCTAATCTAAATTACTTGGAACAGTATGAATATTTTATTTCGATTTCTTTGATTACGTTGTCACAAACTAAATTGTGCTTTTGCTATGATTCTCTTATTAAAGAGTATGGCACAAATCGTTACTGTTAGAATTTATTCGTGAGCTCGAGAATGTGATTAAACTGATTTTTCAACAAGTGTGCTTAATTGCAAGTGTTTATAATTCATAGCTTATATATTATTTTGAAATATTTTGTTTTTAAATCTTTTTATAATATGTTAGTGCATGCAATTTCTCATGTAAACATTTCAAATTCATATAATAGTTTATATAATAATATTTTCTGTTCTAATATTTAAATATTTCAGTTTTAATATTGATTGAATTTTTATTTGGATTGCTTGTATGTAATAAGAAAAATTTTGTTCATATGCTTTATTTTTATTTAAAATATAAATGTATCATTGCATATCATTGCATTATTTGAAATATAATTATATGTGATATAGCAATGTATTCCATAAATATGCAAATTTATTTTATTTTATTATATTTTACTGTTTTAAAATTGAAAATTTAATAAATTATCATATTTAATTTATATTAAAAATAATATAAAGTGCAATATCTTTATTTTACACTTTTGTAATATGAGTTTTTAATTTATATTATTTATATATTATTCATTAGTCTAAAACTTTTCAATATTCTTTTAAAATGATTTATAAATATATCAAATTATTATTTTTGATATGAAACTTATGAAGGAATACATTTCTTATTGCAGGCTTTTTATAAAAAAATGAATAGATAATGTAAGTGATATGAATATTAAAATAATAATTGTTAGTGTTATACAGGAAAGTGACAAGACATTCCATGATTTCATATAAAATTTTAGTTAAATATATTGTGACTTAATGAACTTTTCACATCATGTCAAATAGTTTGGACAGTTTTTTAACACGTATTGGGGATGTCACTATAGAACGTGTGACTCCTCGTTCAGGCCCTAAGCCTAATGAAACAGTAATGTCAACAGAAACTGCAACAAATACAAATATGAATAATATAGAGTCTCAAACAGGAAATGATGAAAGTTCAGAGGAATCTAGTAGTGAAACATCTGACGGAGAACATGATAAGAAAAATGATACATTACAGTCAGAGGAAATAGAAGAAATACGTTCAGAAGGATCAGGAGACGACATGGATTTAGACGAAACAATTGATTCACAAATTGGTGTTCGAGCAGAATCAGAACGGCATCATTCTCAAGCTGAAGAGGATGATGAAGAGCCAGTTAATATATTAGATACTTTACCATTAGAAGGTTTGTATATTATATTATTATTTTTTAATTAATTATTTAATTGAATGAAAATTTATATTATATTATATAATCTCTAAATTAATATTTCGCTAATATTAATATAATTATTGAATTTAATGTCATATTAATAATTAAATCTTTTGTAAAAGGAGCCCCAATTGAGGGTCAAGAAGTATCTGAAGCAGATTTACTTGGAAAATCAATTTCAAAGGATACAGATGATGAAGGAAGCATAGGACATGAGAATGATAAACATGAAGGTCATTCTATGGAAGAAGAAAGTACAGAAAATAACAAGAGGCATGCTGATTCAGAACATTCTGATACAGTTAAAAAGAAGCAGAAAAAAGATGATGGAACTGAAGGATCTACATCAGAATGTGAAACAAAAACAGAAAAGAAATTAGCAAATATGAGAAGAAATATTCGAGAAGTTATGGACGAAACTCAGCTTGATGAAGCTACTCTATCAGCTCAAAGACAAGAGATGGAGCGTCTTCGGAGAGTACAAGAACAGCAAAGAATAATTCGTGAAGTTCAACGGCAAATAGCAATAAATAGACAAAATAATAAAACACAAACAAGAGTAATCAGTCTATTACAAGGTAAACAGAATCAAGCAGGTACTACTATTTCGCAATCATCTCCATCTGCTCCAGTTCGTTTACCAAATACAGTGCTTCTTAAAGTAAATTCCGGATCTGGAACTGGATCTCAAACTACTTCTAGTATGCAAACAAATCAAATACAAGAAGATCAGTAGAAGGATCTCGATGGCAAAAAGGTAGAGGTGTTTATCAAGGAGCACAAACATCAATTTCACGAGTTGCAAATCGTCCTAGTGGCCCTAATATGTTACAACAAAGAATTCGAATGATGACTCCTTCTGTAAGCATATCTCCTGTAGTTCCTAAAAAGGAACCTATGGATAGATCTGAATATTATTCAGATTCTGAAATCTCAGATATAGAAGCTGAAGAAGCTTTACGTGAAAAACAAATACATACTGTTAAAAAAGTATCAGCTGGACCAAAGTCTCAAAAAACAGCTAAAGGCAAAGATGTGGTTACAATATCTAGTTCTAGCGAAAGTTCAGATGATGATTGCATAGTTTTAAGTGATCCAAGTGGTGGAGAAGATACAGACAACGAAGATGATCCATCCAATTCTGGTATGCATACTAATGATAGATATAACATTCCAGATGAACATGGTAGAGTGTTAATAAATGTGGGTCATCCTGAAACAGAGCCTGATGTATTTTTAGCTCCACAGGTAGCTCGTATTATTAAACCTCATCAAATTGGTGGTATTCGTTTTCTTTATGATAATATTGTTGAAAGTATTGAAAGATTCAAAACTAGTTCTGGTTTTGGTTGTATTCTTGCTCACAGTATGGGTTTGGGAAAAACACTTCAAGTTGCTAGCTTTTGCGATATTTTTTTCCGATGTACTACTTCTAAAACAGTCTTATGTATTATGCCTATTAATACATTGCAAAATTGGTTAACAGAATTTAATATGTGGTTGCCATACGAAGATCCTAATATTCCAGAAAAACATAGCAAAAGTTCATGTATTAAATCAGAATCTATTATGGAGCTTAAACAAGAAGTTAAAGATGAAAGTGGGAATCAGAGTGATATATCAAACATGTCAAGTATGTCAAATATATCAAGGCCTATTAGTACAGAATCAGCCCATCGTTTTGGACAAGAAAGTACATCTCAATCTATAAATATTATGCCAGAAAATCCATATATTCATCAAGGATATGAAACGCATAATATGTTACCTAGTTATGTACAGGATAATATGTTAAATAAAAATATATCAGATTCGCAAGTACATATAAATGAAAATTATCATAATGATATTTCACAAAATACAATATATAATGCAAATCCAATGTCTACATTTGATTCAATGAAATCAGAAGTAAATTGTCATGGCATGCAACAAAGATCAAATATGCCAGATACGAAATTTGGAGTGGAAAATCAAAATTCTAATAATATATATTCTAGTTTAGAAAATCGATCACAAACTTCCATATATCCAGGTATGGAAACTCGAAATCCTAATACTTTATATCATGGAATAGAAAGTCACCATCCTGGATCTATGTATACTAATTATGATAATTCTACTAATGCTTTTTCTAATTATTCGAATCGATCGACTCAAGAGTCAGATCAAGATCCAAGAAAAGATTGTTTTAAAAATACTTTATCTTCTATAAATTCAGAAGTTAATGTAAAAAAAGAACCAGAAGAAACAGTTAAAAAAGAGGAAAGTACTTGTACAACAAAAGAGGAAACAATAAGCGAAGAGAAAAAGGAAATTGAAAAAATTAAAACTCCATTTATTGTAGATGCTCCTATTGGTATGGAAGTAAGACCACGACATTTTCGTTTGCATATTTTAAATGATTCTCATAAAACCATGGCGGCAAGAGCTAAAATAATTCAAGATTGGCAAATAGGAGGTGGAGTTTTGTTAATTGGATATGAACTATATAGACAATTATCTTTAAAAAAACCAAACAAAGCAAAAAGAAAACGTGGACAACCTTTCAAAGATACTG